GGGATCTGGTGGGACGGAGTTGAATAAAGGATTTGAATTTTAGACTCTAATGAATACAGTAGGTTATCCCCGTTTATGTCACTTTACAGGGCTTAAATGTCCAATGTTCATATACGTCTTCCTCTAAAGTACCTTTAATATGGTTCATTTCAAATAATTAACTATCTCTCATTATTTAAAGTTACGAAAAAACGCTAAAGATAACTTTTGAAAGAATTTTATAAATGAATAAAGAAGAAAAAAAAAATGCTTATCCAGGTCGAAAATGAATTTCCGGAAATAACAGTCAGAAGGCATACGTATAATATACCGTTGGAAAGCGAAGAATTTTAGAAAAAACAATGTTTAATATAGAAAGTTGTAGAAGGTAACGGATAGTGACGAAAAAATTATAAATAATTCTTTTTGAAAACTAATAATATTTAACTTAAATCATATGTTTTCAAGAAACTTAAATGAAATTTACTAACAAAATGTAAACTTTAAAAAATATTTTTAATTTTGTAAAAAGTGTTTAAAATCCATCTAATCAAGACAATGGCATTGTTAAAAAAACTATTTCATTGTACTTGTGTGAAAGAAGAAGTAAAATATAAAATCATTTCATGGATGTATAAAGCATATGTTTATAACCTTAAATACATTTACGGTAGTTCAGTGATTATAGATCTGATACTGCATTTAAATAATTAAATATCAACGTTTATTCTGAAAAATTGTCATGTAACTTTTTAGAAAATTAAATAAGTGAATAATTTGCTAAATTTTATCAGCTTATGTAACAAAATAAATAATTACCTGCTACAACCAGGGTCACGTATTTATGACAATACTGGATTAAAAGAGCATCTACTATTGCAAGCCTGATTAGTGTCACTTCTGTACTCAAACTAGTTTAAGCCGAATATGGGTGTTTCTTGGTCATTTAATGAATTAGCAAGTCAAGTTATATCGTATTCATGCTAATACGATTAAATTTCCGAAACTTTGAAATATAGTGTAGTAGATAGCCCCCTTTATTTACTTCTTTGTTTGACATTGTGTGAGGGAATGAGAAGGAATATATAGGAATGTGAGGTTGCAAGATGAATTGTACTAAATTATGCAGTGGACAAATTATTCATTGAAAAGTCTCATATCTATAAACAATCGATGAAGAAGGACGCTGGAAAAAGGACAGAGCAGGTAGCAACAGCTGAAGAAGGACGCCGTAGAAGAGGAGAGAAGGTACTTGAGGCTGAGACATTGAGGCGGAACGGCATACCTGGGAAGAGAAGTCTACTACAAGATTTAGAAGATCAAGTTACAAAACTTGTATACTTATAAAACTTTAATAGAGTCAATTTATTACAGTTGTAGAAATAAATTATTTTGTTATACAGGAGTGAAAAGTCATTTATTTATTTAGTTGTCTGTATGCCTCACGATTGAAGAATAACAAACCAGGTGAGTCAATTCATTCAAAGTTTATTTACTAAGTACCACATTATGTATATATTCTAATTGTTTCATGTCTCTCAGTGTCACAAAAGGTATTAGATTCCCGAATTCCCAACGACAGTTAAACACCCTCAAAAAGTCCATATCTAGTGCCCGGATTTTGTTTTAATAATCACGAGTATAAATAACCTAGTTCCCCGATATAAAAGCTATTCGCAATGCCCACCAAAACAAATTATTTACAATTACACTTTATTAGGTTATTTACAACAGTCTATCTTACCGATCAAATCGATAAATATTACACTATACATTTTATGAGAGAAGATATACGAAATTTTCAAAACTTCTACTGTGTAATATACAATCCAAGGTAAATATATTTTCAAAACCATATATTTATAATATCCCTTGAACTAAAATAATAAAATACGTAACAAAAAAAATTGTCTCCCTCGTGCCTTCAGAACCATCGCTTTAAGAACCATATCTAAATCTATTAAATAATGGTTATAAACCTTAAACTACCAAAGGAAAATTCATTAAAGGGGATAAAGTTAAATTTCGAAGGGTTTGTCGTAATGTTTGTCAAGTTGGGCGCTGGATTCCTCGGAAAGGGTGTTGGGAGTAAACTGTGCTTCAGTGTCAACATTATCAGTGATTATGTTCTGGGTTGAGGGGGGTCAGTAAACATGGTCTGGTTGGATGGAAGCTAACCAACAATGGTGTCATCAAATTGACACCACACCACATTATTCTCCATCGAAAATTTCACTATCAATCAAGTTGCCCTCAGATGATTTTACGAGTAGGCCAGCTCTTTCAAATGAATGAACTTTCGTAAATAAGTTCATAATAAAATGGATAACAGTTACAGTTCTTAGAATATTAGTCAAAAGTATGTACCTATCTTCGAAAATTAAAGTAAAGTCTAAATCTGTAATTTTGAACCAATAAAAGAAAGAACACTTTTATTAATGTACTAATATACAAGTTAGCTCTGTAAATCGTTAAAAATAATATTATTACGGATCCATTTATTTTTTATCGCTGAGAAGATATTGTGTTAATATTCAGAAAGTAAGTTTATGCGGACGTTCCTTGTCCCTTATTGGTGCAATTATTTTTTTACGGGAGTATATTTTTAGGGTTACATTTGAAAATAAAGTAACGAAGTCTCTTAATCTACAAGACGTGGAGGAGTACGAGTTTTGCCTCAGTTCATTAATTATTAAAAATAATGATTATTACGGATCCATTTATCTTTTATCGCTGAGAATATATTGTGTTAATATTCAGAAAGTAAGTTTACACGGACGTCCCTTGTCCCTTATTTGTTGCAATTATTTTTTCAAGGGAGTATATTTTAAGGATTATATTTGAAAATAAAGTAACGAAGTCTCTTAATCTACAAGACGTGGAGGATTACGAGTGAGGCGAAGGTACACCTTGAACCAAGAACCACATTACGACAAATCTATTAATAAAAATTAGGAAATATACAAATTTTTACTAGAGTTATTTGATTTTAAAAATAAATAAATAATAAAAACGAGTTGTTATATTTAAAATTATTTACATATTTTATAAAAGAATCCATTGGTACAATGATACCAGTTCTTCTTTTTTTTTTTAAATTTCATGTTTAGGTAGGTACAGGGAATTGGAGAATTCTACTTAATTGTATAAGGGATCTGGTAAAAATAAAATAAATTGAAAGTGTGAGCAGTTTTTTTTTGCTTCTTTGTTTCTTTCTTTTTTTAACCATGAGACGATTTTCCATTTTCAATACCAATGGAATTCCAAATAAAATTAATTTATAAATAAATCATTTTTAAAACATCCAAATTTTTAAATTAATAAAATTTTCGCGCAGATTTCTATAAATCAATCTGTTAGTTAATGAGTGAAAGGAATGACTTCAACAATAAAATATGATAGTACAAGTATTTATATAGCGGAAAGAGATAAACCGGGTTCATCATCATAAAAAAATAAAACTTGAAATAGTGGAAACTATTTTAAGCTATAAAATATAAATAGATTAATATAATTTTAAATAGACTAATATATGTTTTAAAATAGTTAATAATATTAAATAAATTAAGGTGAAGTTGGGTTAGTGCGTCATATGAAGTGCAAAGCCCAACTTTAAGCGAGCATAAAAACCAGATATCAATGATGCAATAATTAATATTTTTTATTGCATTTTATAACTTAAACCTTTTCTTTAGCAGCAGAGTTGATTTTTCTATACCCTAAAAAATTCTATCAGTGTGAAGGCAAAATAGTTTCAAGTCCGATTGATGCACTTGCCCCACCTAAATGGGAGAAGTGCATAAATATCTTCTGAAAAACATTGCAGTGAATTGATTATTTACTGGGGTAAGTACAAAATTAAGGAACTCCAACTAATCATTTCTCTCCTTGAATTTTCAAAATCAGAAAAAAATCACAGAGCTGTTTAATTGTGCCCTTGTCAAGTATCAATCCACGATCAACAATAATGACTATGAAGCGTCCCAGGGAGATGATTACATCTTACAATAGAACGCACTTGTGGATTAAAGTTAGAAGTTATTACAACATAATACCATGAATGGCAGTTAATGTAATAAAAGCTCATTATAAGATATAACAAACTAACGCGCTATCCCCAAAAAGTTTTGTTCTTTTGATGAGTGCCACCCCTGACCATCTTCAATATACTGCGGTAAACTATTGAATATTAAATATTCATATACAATTTATTTTCAAGTTGAAACCTCTACTGGTCGGATACTCTTTTGTTCAAGTGGAATAGAGAAACGAGAAAACTACATACTACAGTAGAACACATTTTTTATTCCATAATTTTTTTTTCATTTAATTATTTCCGGATTGCCAAATAAAACAAATCTCCTTCTTTAAATTACTATCCTCTTCCTACCCACTTAATTTCGTTCTTATTCTATTAAAAACGTCTTTCTGAGAATGATAAAGAAAATTCATCAAGGAACAAAGTCAGAATTAATAACAATCCTTTGGCAATAAATTCCATGTGTAATGTATTCTTACAAAATGTCGCTAATGTGATTTCCTGTATCAATGGGTGGGCTTATATCTTATGCTCCTTTAAGGTGGAAACAGTACACGAATCTCCATCCTGGACTCCACCGTATCATCTGTGCACTAAGTTCTAAGTGCGTGATTCTATTCAACTTAGGCATTTTGCTCATAGAATATTTTTTTATTATTTTTTTTGCCCTAGGAGCTTTTACCCCGTAAGAAAATTCAGTGCTAACAAAAAAACAAATTCTCTTGATTAGCACGATTTTCAACTACCTTGGATCATTGAACAACGAAACTAGTCCCAGGCTGCCTGGGTATTGAGTTTGTTTATTTTAGTTCAAACTTAGAAGAAAGGGGATATCAATAGTAAGATCCACAAGGATAATTTTCTACCAGTTTTGTGTAAAACTATCAAATAATTGAGGATTTTTAGGGGTTGTAGAACATAAATAAAGCAGAAATTTATTAAAACCCAATTATATTTTTTAAAACCTGCATGTCTTTTTCAGATCCCCCTGTAGTTTCTCTGCAGCTTGGTACTTCTTTAAAACCACACCAGATCAAAGAAGGAGACGATGTGTACTTTGAATGTAATGTTCGCGCTAATCCACGTCAACATAAGATCACCTGGTATCACAATGTAAGTTTAATATGAAATACTAATAGTTTTTCTATTTCATTTCATTCTAGTAACAGAATGAAGAACAGGATAAGAACAGTTACAAATCGCTCTAGATCCATAAAACTTAAATTTTGTCATTTTTAAGTCAGCCACATTTTATGCTGAATAAAAAGCAATAACAAAAAAAATGTTTAATTTAGGCTACAGCCAATTAGTAAACTAGATTACATTTATATTAAATTCAAGTAAATCTTGACTATTTTAAAACCATTTAAAGGGGACTTTTAAGGACATTAACTACGTAAGTTCGCAAATATTTGCTTAAAGTGGCAATACAATAAATATTATTTCATGAATATATCCTTAACCATTGATTATATCAACAACAAAAAATGTATAGGGTCATTTTTATAGTTATTTTAAAGTACTTTAGTATGTTAGTGCACAATCCTTGCAAAAAACCTCAGAGTTTTAGCGATATTCTCCAAAAAATATATATCAGTTTTCTGTTCTTTCCCTTTACCCCCATCAAAACCCAAAGTGGGATTCTTTGGGACTTTATACAAGTTATTATAGGGAGGGAAATGAACAATTCCTGACAAGGTTCATCTTAATTTTTTTTATTTTGGGGTAAATCTCTAATTTTAATGGACTAGGAGGGGACTTTTTCGCAACCACGGGACAAGGCCGGCTCTGTACCGGTATTTTTTTAGGATATATTTAATTTAATTTTTTTATTGTAAGCATTTGTGACAATTTGAATAGACTACGTTGAATAAATAATTATTTGGATAAATGAATTTTAAAAATAGGGGTGGTTAATAAAACAATAAACAATTAAAAGGAAAAAAAAAGTAAAGAATCGCTTTAAAAATTACTTGAATTTAAGTGTATAAAAATTAAAAATGACTTAATATTAAATATTTTCAAACAGTGTAAATCCTCGTTACTTATTCAAAAAGAATTAAAAATTATAAAGTCATAGAGAACAGATTTGGAGTCAACATTTTGGTCTGAAAAGTGAAAACATACCAGTGTGCTGTGGAACAAAAGTATGTTATTACTGGAATCATTTGTATCATTTTATTCAGCAAAGATAATTAAGATAATCAAAAACAGAATTCTGAAAATCAAATTTCATTTTTTTTTATTTTAATGAAATTTACAACTGTATTACATAGAAAATACAATAAGTAAATATGACATTGGTAACATGACATGTACAACATGAAGAGAAACTATCCATTGGTAGAACTCAAATGAAAGTTCTATATTAGAAGGTCCCGAGGCCATCTTCTTTTCAGACGCCTCGGAGGGTTATCAGGGATCGAGGAGGAAGTAAGGTTTGAAACGAGAGGATTCGGATGGTTCTGCAGTTTGATATGGAAAGATAGGTATCTGGATTGGGCCAAATCGGAAACATATGGAACATTAAGGTCTTTGTGGATGATTTTATTTGTGACAAAGTAAGGAGCGTTGAGGATTTTACGAAGGATTTTGGTTTGTAAGGATTGGATACGAGAGGAATTCGATGGTTTAGTGGAGCCCCAAAGCTCAATTCCGTAAGTCCAAATAGGTCTTATTATTGTCATATATATATGAGTCGTTTGTAATTGATTGAAAGCTAGAGTGTTTGTCTAGTAAGTGCTGCAGTAGTCGAAAACGTTGGGCGGTTTCTAGTCGTTTCAGTCTGGTATGGGGGTAAATCAAATTTCAAAATTAAAAGTTACGAATGACCCTTGAGCCAAACATAAAATGGTTCCACTGAATTTTTTTAAGTAAATCAAGATGAAAATGTTCATTGAAGTAAGTCTGACATACCTACACACCTATATTAATATTCAGTGTGGAGTGAGATAAGTAGAATGTTTAAGGAGTCAGTGAAAACAATCTATTATCTAGGGTCATTAATATGTTTTATCATTTACTAATCTTATTGACTAATCACAAAGATATCACTTCCTTACTTATAAATATATATAATTGATATTCGAAAGGAAGGTTCTTCGGAAGATATTTGGTCCAATAAAGGAGAATAATTAATGTAAAATAAGATATAAACAAGAGCTATCTTATAAAAGGAGCCAGTTGCGGTGACCTCAACTCCGAAGAAGCTGTTCAGCATGCAACCGGGAGGAAAAAGAAAATCGAAAGACCGAAGCTGATGTGGATTGCTGTAGTTAGTGCCGATGCCAGAATTTTCGGAAACAGGTGGACGGCTGCTCACGACAGAGAAAAGTGGAGAGCAACTCTTGAGGTAGCCAAGATCTAGTAATATAGTTGAGCATGGAATGATTATTATGGGAAAATTAAAGATTACTTGTTTATTGATAAATATTACAATCTGTCTCAATTAAGGACGCTTATAATAAAGTTCAGGAGAGCACATTCACACCATATTTACAAAATCAAAAAATAAATAAGGTAATTTCAAAATAATATACAGCGAAATAAGAATAAAATAAAATATCATAATGAGGGGAAATAATAATAGTAGTAATAATAAAATTAAAATAAATAAATAAAATAGAATTGAAATGTTCTTAAAAAAAAAAATAATAAACATCTTAGACGCAGGCATACCTATTTACACTGTTTACAATCGGCCATGGGAACTCCGAACCAAACTTGACCCCCCACTTGTGGAGAGAAAAGCGAGGCTTCAGGAGATCCCTGCGCTTCTCCCTCAACCACTTCACTGGTATTAAAAGCCAGCGGAGGCTGAGTAAGGGCGCTACAACCACAGGTTGGGAAAATTAAATTTTAAAACAGAAAAAAAAATTCTTTCAAATATAAACAAAAATGTCAACAACTGAAATACTTTCTCATTTCTTGGGTATAATTAATTATAATTTTTATTTTTGAAATATTTGGCTATATCTAGATATTCACAATACCCACAATAAGCTATTTCATTGATGTTATGAGTTCAATTAATGTTCTCTGACTTATAGGGTGAGCCAGTTACACAAAATATGAGTTCTGGTGTCCTAATCAGCGCACTGAGCCTCGTTTTACAAGGGGTGACTAGACAACATGGAGGAAGCTACACCTGTATGGCTGCTAATTCTAGGGGACAAACTTTCAGTCAACCTGTTTTTCTTCGAATTCAATGTAAGTGATATTCTATTATGTTAAGCTTTAAATCTAAAAAGTGCAATACCACTGTAAAATGCAGAAAAAATATACATAAAGAAAAACTTCATGAATTATTAGACAAAATGTGCATTATGAACTTTTTTAAGTTATTTTATTTAATGGCAATGATAAATTGATTTTATTTTAAAAAATAAATAAAGCAGTCCTTCAAGGGCTTCCTCCTCTTCAAAAAAAAGAAGTAGGGATTGGTTGAACTACTCCATTCTTGTCTCACTATTCAATACTGATAGTGTATTCAGCACTTCATCTGATGAATTTATCTCTTAAAAACACCCACATACTTCTTTTAAGACTTATAGCTCAAGAAGTATCTGTCACCACACCTTGGAGTGCTCTAGCAAAGCCCTCCGACATTCTATCCAGAAAAAAATGTATATAACTAGCCTGGATTCGAACCAAAATCCTAAACATTGGAAACCAAAACAGTAATTTTACTGAACTGAGCCCTATGTTTAACTATAATAAGATATACTTTGTACCACAATATTTCAATACTATAATAAGAACATTCTTAGATCACAGAGCAACCAATAACTTCAGAATTTTCTTTATTTTCACTTTTTATATAAAGTTAAAGTTCAATCCAATCATAGAACATTCATGACAATTAGAGCGAATAGTTAAGTAATTTAAAAATAAATCCCACTAACGTTCCAGCACAATTATTTTATTTTTAAAAATTAAAATTATAAATGTTTTTATCGACAAGAACAAATTTGCGAAATGTCAACTTCAAGTAAAAAATTAAGATTTGGAAAATATGAATGTTCTTCGATATTTTATGATTTAATAATTCATATACTTCCTATAACATTGAGAAAGAATGACATACTTGTTCAAATTATTGAAAAGTTCGATTTTAATTTTTTTTTTTTTTATTGAAAAATATTACAATCTGTCTCAAGGACATTTATAATAGTGTTCACAGATCACATTCACACTCTATGTACAGTAAATAAAATAAATTATACAGAAAAATAACATATATACAATAAATAAGAATAAAATAACCTAAAAATAAACAAATAAAAAGAACACATACATACCTATATACAATATTTACAATTTGGTGAGGGAACTCCAAACCAGACTTGTCTCTCCAAGTGTGGAGGGAAAAGCATGGCTGCAGGAGATCCCAGCATTTCTCTCTCAACCGCGTCACTGGGGCTAAACCCAGTGGAGATTCAATTTTTTTTTTTTTTTTTTTTTTTTTTTTTTTTTTTTAATATTAAACTGAACAATTTTATAGATAAGCATAATTTTCGCGAAAGTCTGGTTGCTTGTAGATATTTCTTGATATAAAGATATTAAATTTTGGCAACACATAATTAGGATTAAGTGTGAAAACTGTAGATACCTCATCATAGGCATATATGAGGGTATGTCAAAAATAAATTTTGATTTTCCTCCAAATCACGTGTATGGCAGCACTGATTGTTCTGCTATAACTTATAACCAGGATTTTCAATTGGGTGAAAAATTTCCCTTTTTAGGGAAATTACAAGGTTGGGAAGGAAAAAAGGGAAACAATTTTTATTAATATGAGCACAATTTAATCTATTTTTTTTAACAATCAAAGTAAAACATATATAAAACGAATAGTTACATAGTACATATTATTTTATATATATTTGAGCGGAAGGGATTTTTAAGATCGTTCTGAGGGAAAATATTTTCACGATCGCAATACTTTCTTTTACTGTATATTACATATATAGGCAAGTGAAAGTAAAAAAGAGAAAATTTGAATGAACAAAAGAGAAATTTAAAAAATCATGGTGGAAACGCTGCTCTTAACGTCTATCAGCTATTGAAAGTATTGAATATACTGAATTGAAGTATTATCGTTGAAAGTATTGTTTCAATGTTAGCTACATGTGATTATGTTTAACTGTTCCAATATTTGCATTAGTCTTTAAAATGGAAGATTTGCCAAGCCGCTGGTCATCACACAGAAAAATTCTACCACTTTTAAAATAATCAATCCATTCATAGATCTTGCTTCAACTCAAACAACTCTCTCTGTATTGCTGCTGCATTCACGAATTATCTCTGCTGAATACATACCTTCTTAATTGAGAAAACGTTTCACTGCTCGCATTTCTTCCTTGGTGAAATCAAACAAAGGAGAACTCATTTGGAACAGAATTTTAAACACAATCACAAGTAACAATCGATACCTTCAATGAACAGCTGATAGATGTTATGAGTTATAGCAAAACAATCATAAACTGTCATCACAAAACTGTCATAAAGGTGTTTCGGAAGGAAATCCAATTTTCTCTTTACTGTTAGATTTGCACCATTAATAATGTTTAGGATAATAAAATAATGCTAAAAACAATAATAACATTTGAATAGCCATTGTACTCACTAATTGTATTTTATGCACAACTCTTTATGTTAATCTTAAATTGTCACTTATTAATTTTGTAATTATTGATCTCCAGATGCTCCTGTATGTGTGTATACAGAACCAGTTATTGTAGGCGCATCTTTAGAAGAAGCAGTGAAAGTAAAGTGTTTAGTTTCTGCTGATCCAACAGATCTCTCATTTTTTTGGCAATTCAATAACAGTGGTGAAAGTTTCCAAGTTGCCCCTAGCAGGTAATTGTTTTTATAAAATTATATATGTATGTGTGTGGTTTTTTTTTTTTTTTTTTTTTTTTTTTTTTTTTTTTTTTTTTTTTTTTTTTTTTTTTTTTATATATAATGTGCTTCATAAAGGCTTTATCAAATTGCTCCAATATTTTAATAATAACAAACATGTTGAATCTTAAAAATAGCTCCATTGATAATTATCTTCTGCCTTCATATAACAAATACTGAATTCATTTGTTATTTATTATAATATCAGTTTTGAATTCATAATTTAAAGTTATTAGATATGCTGTATTAGAAATATAAATGTAATCCTTTTGCATAATTGTGTTAAAATTTTAGTGAAATAATAGTTCATGCACTTGGTAATGCTATATATTGGGAAAAACATTTTTTATTGAAGTAATATTTACATTTCCTTATTATGAAATTTAAAATATCATTTTTAAATCCAATATATGAAGATTTGCTTTTAAATTATAACTTGTGATAAAAAGCTTTTTCAGTTATTTTTAACAATAGATACACAATATGTACAAAATTCAAGAGTTTTCTCCTGGAAATATTTTTTACTTTGATTTTAGATATGCAACATCAAATGGAACGATTAGTGAGCTAATTTATACTCCTAAGTCAGAACGAGATTATGGCACATTAACATGTTCAGCTTCAAACAGTATTGGACGTCAAGCAGAACCTTGTTTATTTCAAGTTGTTCCTGCAAGTAAGTTTATCATCATTAAAATATTTTTAAAGGAAAAGAAAACATAAATATTTTTAATCATTCTATAAAATAAAATGCCTCTACTCTTTGTGCATATTTCAAATAGTTGCATTTCAGTGTCCTGATAGTTTTATTTATTTTATTTTTTTAAGAAGAAATTAAATTTTATTTTGGGACATTCAGCTCCTTAAGAATAAATAAATTGAACAATAGCAATTACATTTAGATATACCTGGTAGGCACTGAATAGTAGGGAGATAATAATTAGATTACGAAATTGTGCAACATTTTAACTAAAATAAAGGACCAGCCTAAGTAAACATATGAAATAATGAAATTATAGGTAAATAGATGTCTGTGTGTTTACATATTTGCATGGTAAGCAATATAAATAATAACTGTGAAATAACAGTAGAATGAGATTGGAACATGTCTAATTCTTACTGAATGGAATGGAATTGCTGAGTAAATGGAAAAACAATTGGTGTTTAAATGAAATTAAAGATGAGGTTTTGCATATAGAGGTATGTAAAGAATTCCAAAACAAGTTAGCATGCATTATAAAGGACAGTAAAATGCAAAAGGATGATAAGCAGTTCTATGAGAAGGAAAGTACGGTTTGTGGGCTGGGATCTTGTGATGAAGGAATGGACAGAGGAACAAGTGAATGAATCAAGAAGATAAGACAATTGTTTGGTTGTAAAGACTCAAAAAAGGTATACATTTAAGAAATATTGCCACAGGATATAGCCACTTCAACTCGGCATACCAACCAGAGATGTGGGAGTACCTGGAGACTCTAAAGATGATTCTAATCAAACAATTCATTAGCCTCTTCAATCTAACTTCAAGCCCACCAGAAAGTCCAGTGTATACAAGGCAGCCATTATCAAAATGGGGAAAAATAAGAGAGAAAACTACTAGAAGTCAATGGATTTTAAGTGGGATGGAATCAAGGAATCGCAGAAACTGTATAAGGGTAACAACAGATTTTCAGATAACTTGGAAAGCATGGTCATTTCAGGACAGTTTTTGGTGTCCAGTTGTTGGACAAACATGGTTATTTATTCTGAAGTGTATATTAGTTTTATTATTTACAAAAAAATAATCTACTCTTTGCCTTTTCTATTACATCAAGATTACAGTGAGAAATCATATACTGTTTAATGCAGAAAAGAAAAATACATTCAATTAGAATTTGCATATCCTACAAATTTTAATGAATAACTACGGTCACTTTTACTTTAGAGTAACGTATATTATTGGTTCCTTATAAAAGGCACTCCAATCTGAAAATTATATGTATATTTTTTTTCCTGATGCATTTCATTACGGTTTTTAGGTTGAATGAATACACAGAAATAAATAAATCATGTTAGCTCAATAAAAATAGCCATTCCAGGTCCCTAACTACAACATAATTATAATTAAAAAATAATTCTAACAACTGAAAATTGAATTTTTAGCTCTTTATCTCTGAGCAGTATTGGAAGCTATAATAGCAATTTATGGAGGATACCTGTGGCATTCCCTATATTCCTTACATTTTTAACCTTTTATATTAACAAAGATATGAGAAGTAAACTAAACAAATATGTCTGAGTTGAACTGAAAGTATTATCAATATTATATATAGGAAATTTAAAAAAGTAATGAATATTGAATCAAATTCCCATAAAACATGAGAAAAATGAAATAAAGCAAAAACTAATGAATATAATTATTCCTCAGATATTAAATAAATGCAGTAATAAATAATGTAATTTTATTATTAATTAATCATTTACACATTGAGGTTTCAGAGATCTCATCCATCATCAGGATTATGTTAAAAGAAAACAATACAGAAATTGAACAAATTAATCACTGTCAATAAATTTTTTTTTTTTTTTTTTTTTTTTTTTATATATTTGTTTATTTAGAAATATTACATTCTGTCACATCAAGGACATTTATAATAGTGATCAGAGAAAGCACACTCACACTCTATTTACAATAAAAAAAAAATAAATAATACAGAAACTTAATAATAATAAATACAAAAAAATAAAATAAAAATAAATACAATACAATAAAATAAATGTATAATAATAAATACAAAAAAATAAAATAAAAATAAATACAATACAATAAAATAAATGTATAAATGTAATAAAATAAATGTAAATGTAACTGTCAATAAATAAATATAAATTCTAAAATCACAATCTACAAACTTTTTTTTTTAAATACGCTGTAAATACTTAAAATAATTTTAACTATTACTTTTTCTATTACTATAATTATTATAATTACTTAAAAATTAGATTCAATTACTTTTTTCTTTAATGAGGAGCCATTAAAAACCCTTTTATTTAAAATTAATTTATTAATTTTTCATTCATAAAACGATATTCATTTTACAATATTGAAATTATTTTGTTGTTCAAAGTCCTTGGTTACAATTGTCTCCCTAGCAGAATTTCAAAAATTTCTGTTTGACTGGTGACTGTAAGGCCCGAATATCGACCTTGTCAGTAACCAAATTTCCTATGTGTCACCAAATATTTTAATACATAAAAAAAAAAATATAACAATTTCTAAGTATCAATTTACTTTTTATGAACACATTGACTGCCAACCAACATAATAACGTGTAGTTAATATTCTTACCTAGAATGGAACAAATTATCCCATATCGTATGTTTTGCAGCTGCAATGAAATTCACAGTGTTTTATGGTGATTATTATATATTAAAATTAGGGTTTTTAAATATACAAAATGATTAAATGAAATTGGATTTTTAGGCCCTAATCAAGAAAAATACCATGCCAGTCAACGTGTTAAATTAGTTTGCTACCTATTCAAATTTGTCAGAAATAATTTTTAATTCAATTTCATTTCAGCTAAACCTGGCCCTCTTCATAACTGTACTCTTCGTTCTACTGTCAATACAACTGGAGATTGGCTAGAAGTCGAATGCATTGCTGGGTTTGATGGAGGACTTTCACAGACATTTCACTTGGAAGCTGTTGATTCCCTTACTTCTAAATATTGCTTAAATGCAAGTAATGTTGAGGGTCCTTTCTTCAGAGTAGAATTAGCAGCTTTGAGCAGTGGTCATCCCGGAACCATTCAACTTGTAATGTATGCCGCAAATCAGAAAGGTCGTAGTGAATTAGTGGTTCTGGAAGATATAGCTATAAGGGATGCTGAAAAAAGAACAGGTAATCTTTTAAAAAAAAGTATTATAAAACAAAATCAGTATAATATGCATAAACTATTTTTCGGAAGTTTCTTTGAATTCAAGAAATCTATTTGCATAATAATTTCATTACTTTTGCATTATAAGTCCTAACTCTTGTTTAAAATCTAAATAATATATTAAAGTTACAATTAATCTATCTATAATTCTATCATAGATATAGTTTTTTTTTTTATGGTGATTGAAGTATTCCATAATAATATAGTAATAATTAATTTGAATGCTGTTATTTATAATCTCATTGGGAGTTTTATTTATGTTCTATGTTTCCTAAATTTCAGAATGGGTTTCTGGTACTCAAGGATTTGGAACAGGGTCTTTCGCTGCTTTATTAATAGGAAGTCTTCTAAGTGTTGCATTATTTTTGCTATTAGTAACAGTGTGTGCTTTGAGAAAAAAGGCTTATAATCTCCGAAACAGCTCTACAACACCCACAAAGCAAATAGAAATAACACAAGGTGATGATCAGAGATATGTTGTATCATATCAAGTGAAATCAGAAATCAAACAGCCTGATATTCTGAACAGAGGTGTGTATTTAAATAATACATAAAACAATTGATTTCAGATTAATTCATTGATTATATATTAATATATGTTTGTGATTGTGAAAATCCTTTTTATTAGTGATTAATGTTTTTTTTCTAATAGTATTAATTTACATAAAATTATTGTAACTTATTTTTTCTGTTGTTTTAACTTAATTTTATGGTAGAGACACAAACATGTTTTATTTTATTTATTTATTGTATATTCAATAGAAGGCAGCACATATTAAATCAAATAAATAAATATGTATAAAAATATTTTATGAACTTTAATTCAATAGGTTCCATCTGACGATAAAAAAACAATTATAAGTTATGTATGCTTGATAACATAAACCATAAGTTTGATTACAAAACAACAGATATTTACTATAGAACACAATTATAAAAATGTGAACCTAACTAAACAAAAATATCAAAAGCAACAAATTAATCACTTATTCAAATTAATCGTAACCAGAGTTGTTTTGTTTTTTTTTCAACCTGGAAGCAATTTATTCAGAGGCTTCTTTTGACAAGTTAAGATCTCTGATAAGGTCATTTAATTCCTCCTGGTTGAAATTTTGAGGAATTTCTAACATCTTCTCATAATCATTATCATCTTCATTTCATTAGTACCAGATGGGTTTTAGGGACAAGGTTTGTCCTCAGAAAGCTCTGGTGAAATTCTGGATCGGTAATTCCTCTGAGTGAGGGACCAGGAGTCTTGCAGAAATTAAATCAGGAGAAGTTCACTTGCTATGATTGTTTTGATCGATTCCAGTAATATTCACTGGATAGAAATAACATTCATTGATTAGGTTTTTGGATTCTCTTCAAACCATTGGTATGCCAAATTTCGAACTTTATTTTTTCCTACAAGTCCACTAGCATAAATATCCTATACAAGTTTTACAAACCTGTCCTGGTGCTGTACCCAGGATTTATCCTGATCACTGAGCTTGACACTATAGTGTCCATGATAAACTCTCTTGGCAATGCCACTAACAGTCTTTCTGTTATTTAGTTTAGATTATAATGTAGCCAAACCCATCAAGATTATTTACACGAGTTCTTCTACTTAAAATCATATTTTGTCAATTTCAATCTATCCTGCATGGCTAAAACTCACAAATGAACCTCAAATATAGTTGACCTGCTGAAATGAAGGATAGGATTCCCATTGACGAAGTGGTGATTCCCAGTCTGTTCTAGCAAGAAGGAAGCGGCATGAATTAAGCAGGCAATTTTATTTCTCTTTTCAGATTTATCTCAAACAAAAAGTAGAGCAGATAGAATAAAACTGATGTCATATTTAGGTTTAGCTTCCCAAATATTGCTAAAATCAGTACCAAAATCCTAGCCACCGACAAAGTTTTTTTCTCTTGTTGGGCCTGTGTAATGGACAGTGGTTGATATATTTCTGTGATTCACAGAACTTGGTTGTTAGTGATACCCTCTTCCCTCACAACAATATACACAAAGGTACATGGTGATCCCCTTATGGACTCACTGTTAACCAAATAAACCATCTTTTTTTATGTGCCAGGTATAACACTGACCTTCTCTAGGTACGAACATGCAGAGGCACAAATAATGACTCCTATCATTACCTTGTCATAGCAAAAATAAAATCAAGAATTACCTATGTTAAAAACAAAAGAGGACAAAGAAATAAAAAAATTAATAACAAGATAAGGACCTCGAGGAATCGGAACAATATGTGTTGAAGGTTAATGGAGAACTTAATTTTCTTCCTCTATATATCTGCAACATAGAACAAATGTGATATGGCATCAAAAGCCATGTTAGGAAAGCGGGTGAAGAAAAAGTTGAGTGTAATGTCATCAGAGAATTGCTAACTGGTTTGATGATGAATACCAAAGAGTCACTTATGTCAAGAACGAGGCATATACATTGATGGTTTAATAGAGACACACAAGAGCATTGAAGGATCTCGATCACAAAAGAAGAAAACAGGAAAAGCAATTGCTCAGAAGGAAAAATTGGAATTGAAAGAACAAACAGCTTGAGAAAGTTGAGCAGCTCTAACTTAATACAAATGATTGTCAAAATTTATACAGAAGAATTAATAATAAGCAAAAGCATTCTAAACCATGAACCGCTGAATATAGAGATACAGATGATATCCATCTCACTAGAAAACATAAGGCACATGGAATTGACTAACTATACCTATATTGTTAAAGACTTACAAAACCTATTGATATCTACGTGGATGTCCAAAATAATTCCAAGCTCATGGAAAAAGTCGATACTGTGCCCAATGGCTATACTTGATTGTAAAAACTATCGAGGTATATCGCCATTGCCTTGCACGTATAAAATATTTTCAAACGTTTTATAAATACGATTTTTGCAATATGTGGGTGGTTTTCTGGGAAAAATATCAGTGGGGGTTATCCAAATGTAAATCATCAGTCAATCAGATCTTCTTATTTTGTATTATCCTGGAAAGAAGCAGAGAACACTGTGCTCCTAAGCATCATCTGTTTTTGTGGAGTTCTAAGCTGCCTATGACAGTGTATTACGTGAACCTTTTTAACAAGCTATGAGAGAACTAAACATCCGAGAGAAACTGATCTGATTAATTAAATTGACCATGGCAGAATATATAATGTAGAGGTTGTGAGAGGTGAGATTCCCAATGAACGGTGTGAGAAAATGAGATGCTCATGGTGTGTATGCTCTTGAACATTGCAATGGAAAAAACTATCGGATGCTCAGATCCAGACAACAAGCATGGTGTTTAATAGAATAGTTCAAATCCTTGGTTACTAGAATAATATAGATATTATTGGAAGATTGCAGGCTGCAGTAAGTGAGAAGCCATAATAACTCTAGAAGCAACAGCTGGACAACAAAAAATCTGGTGCAGTGCGCATATCACACTACATTCACTCACCATCCTACTTTGAGTAGAAATAGGTATTTTCATATAAAGGGAAATTAAAGAGCTTTTGCTCTGAAGCACCCCCGCCCTCCAAAAAATGTATACATTTTTCATTGATCTGTCGAGGTATTGTATGGATTATACAGTTATTAGAAGGCCTCAATAGAGCATGTTCAAATTTGGGTTATATGACTTAGTGGATGAAGGAAGAGGTTTACTGAGGAAGAGGAAGACAGAATGACCTCAAGTGTCAGGTGGATAAGCACCCAAATCGCTCTTGGTCTGCGGACTAAGGGATGAACATTAAGACTCCTAATTCCTAAAACTCCTAATTTTGTGGGATGATGGGAAGATGAACCTCCTCGTTTAGTATATAGAAGTACAAGTAGAGGGATGAGCATCCAAACCTTCTATGGAGAGAGAATAGGAAAGGTTAAAGGAGCATAGTAAAATAAAAGGCAGTTTAATGTAGAACCAAAATGTGTATATAGAATATACTGATCAAACTGCTGGGAAGAATCTGACATTCCGGTGGATTGAGATTCAAGTTCTGTTTCATTCCTCGGAGGACTGCGGTAATCATTTTGCCATGACTAAATCGACTATCAAGAGCAGTTACAGTTACAGTTATTTTTAAGCTTTGATCAGCAAACCTTATCATCATTAAACTTTATTATTAAAAAGTATTCACAACTTATATACATATTTACAATTTAGAACTTGAGGTAGAGATATACTTGACTGAGGTAGTGAATCAATGGATGAGACGAAGTCTGTACTACGGGGTTTACTTTGATGACGACGAGCTCCTTACCCTTTTTTTCGCAGACGATCAGGCACTGATGGCCTTGAAAAAAGTTTTCTTGAAGATGGTGGTTGTCCAATTAAAAAAAGTTTATGAAGAAGCAGGTCTCAGAATAAACTTCCAAAAGACTGAGTACATGGCACTGGGAGATGAAGAAGACAATCTACGCGTAGATGATCACATGCAAAGAATAGTAAAAGCATTTAAATACCTCAGGTCCTATCTGGACGATGTGGGGGCATTCTAAGTGGATGTCCAAAACAAGGTAGATATGGCAAGAAAAGCAACTAGAATGCAGCATGCTGTTCTCTGGAATAATACTATTTCAAACGCGAACAAGTGGCGTATCTTTACAGCAATTGTTGAGTCCATATTAACGTACGGATGTGAGGCATGGTCGATGAATGCTAGCTTGTATGCCAAAATTGAGACTTTAGAAATGGATTTTTGGAGAAGGTGTCTACTGTTTACGAGGCTGGACAGAATCCGAAATGAAGTGGTGAGATAGAGAATAGGTGTAGTGGAAACTGTCTCTGAAAGGATCAGGAAACGGCAGTTGAGGTAGTATGTTCACTACAGAAGAATGCCTGAAAAGCATTGGCCGAACAGAGTCCTGAACTGGCATCCACCCGGAAAGCATAGGCGATGATAACCCAGAACCACGTGGATGGAAGGAGTCCGACAAGAGATGGCTGGCAGAGGTCTACAGGAGGGGGACTGGGAGGATAGAGATGTTTGGAGCTTGGTTCGACATGAAGAGGTATCCCACGTTGGAACACCAGAAATAAGAAGAAGAAGGACTTGAGTATTTTACAATAAAATAATGAGAAATAATACTACAATTTTTAGATGCAATGAGCGCGCACATATGTGGCACTGCCAGGCTTGATGACTGGTAGGAATAGGCCTACACAGATCCTTATTTGTTTCTGGGAGTAATCTGAGCTCAATATATAAAGATCACAATCTGTACTCTTTTTAAATTTTAATGTATATACAACTACTAAAGAAAAAAAGTATAAAAATTAATCCCTAAAAGCATTATTATTCCTTTAATTAACAATTTAAAATTTTTTTTCAGTCTTTCAAGGAGCACTTAAACATCATTTTATATAGTTTCTTTCTTTTTTTGTCCAGAATAATTACCATTAAATCAAAGAAAAAAAGTCCTCCCTCCAAAAAAAATTAAATCCTGTATCCAATACCACATGACAGTTTCACTTTCGCATATTAATCTAGTAAAATTGTCATAAATGTTTACAAAAATTAACAGATAGTTTTGATATATTGTCTGGGTATGCACAGTGTTGAAAAATTCAAGTTTCTTTAGTCTTCCTACCACCAGAAGCACAACCATTTTGAGAAAAAACACTACTTTTTTCATTGCCCCATTCTTTTCCAAATATCTGCCAAAGTATGAGTCTGAACAAAATGGGTCCCCAAATATTAAGTTAAGGTGACAGTTTAGAATGCACATAAAAATAATAGAATCTAAACTCCTAAACAATGACAATTTATTATTTAAAAAAAATATTACAGTTATGTTTAATCATAAATCTGCAAATATTGTTTTTTTCTAAACCGTAATTAAATAATGGAGCCAATTTTTCATTTCCATATTTTGGTATTTGACTTTATTATTAAGTGATGTATTCAAGGGAAATAATCGTTTTTTATAAAATAAGTGGGAAAAAATCGTTTTTTTTTTCTTTTTAAGTTGAAAATTGAATAAAATTGGTTAATTATTTAATCTTTCAGTTTCTGAAGAACAGCTTGAAACAGATGGAACCAATGCTACTTTCAATGGACCAAGAGTTAATCCAACTTTTGTAAGTATATATATATACACATTAATTTCTTTGTCAAAGAGAACATATTAACTTGAAATTACTAGTTTATTTATAAATTTAAAACATGGTAGAAATATCAGATGATCCAGCGAGCTGTTTAAATTTATTTTGAACTGTTCTTGACTCGGTTCAGATTCGTAACACAATGTCTCTCTATCTTCGACTGTCCCTGGCAAGTCTTATCTAGCTGTCTCGCAGTAAACAAGCATGCCAATAAGACTTCTATTTTTCTTAAGACCGATACTATTGTATTGTATACTATTTTTAATTTTTAATTTACTATTTTTAAAACATATACATGTAAAAATTGTTTTTCTTGATTAGGATCTGCTCTGTACTTAAAAAATATATTAAAATATTTTTAAAAAACTAATCATTTAAAATAAAAAAAATATATTGTCTTAAAAAAAAATGTTTTGAAATCATAGTAAAAAAATGGAGTGTAATAGGCAGGCGCAAAAATTCCTTATAAAGCTGGTTCCTCGATAAACCACCTGGTTCATTTGTAGCATCTGTTTCCTTTCTTTACAGATGAAAAGGCAGTTGTGCAATATTACTAGCAGAAGGCTTCAGTATATATCATTAATAAATATAAGTCATATATATATATATATATATATATATATATGTATATATATATATACAATTAATGTAAAAATAATTTGGTTAACTTTTAAGAAAGCTAACATAATTACGATGCAGGTTAACTTAATTCTGATAACATCAAAAGATTTTGAATTTAAAATGATTTCATCAATTGAAGAAAAACAAAATGACAGCTCTTCAGGAGAACAAAGAAAAATATGGCAGCAAGGAATAAAGGATTTTGTTCTGGGTGGGAAATTAGTTGGTTGGAGGTACAAGAGAGAGGATGTCCCAGGAGCTCCTGACTTAAGTAGATGAGATTATTACGTGAGTCGGTGGTATGTTTAGCAGAACATTGGAAAGCATTTAAATACAAATGAATTACTGTGCTACAAAGGAAGAGTGTATATAACAAAATAGATCAGCTTGCCAATTCATCCTTGTCTTTGTTTTAAAATCAAACAGAGTTTAGAGTAGATAATTTTAGTTTGTCTGAGTCTTTTGATCTGATTATCAGTATCCCATATCTCAAGATAAAATAATTGTTAATTTCATTTTAATATATCAAGATTCTTATAATTTCGTTTTTTAACAACAATTTATTTTGTTTTGGGATGTATCCCTCAAATATTGAAGTGATATTTCAGAATTATTATGATTAGTAGTAAAAACAGAAGATATTACAATATAAAATACAATTATCAATCAATTCTATCAGAAATTTCTACAAGAATGTTATCTATTTTATATTTAATATATGTCAGAACTGAACAAATTTATATTATTTCTAAATTCAAAATTGAGCTCTGTTCTGAATATATTTTTTAACTGTTTTATGATGTTTCAACGTTTTGGAATAAGATGATAAATATTCTTAGTACTATCGAGGAATGGTGGTGGAACAAATTGTATTTTCTACATTTTAGAAGAAATACCCTTTGCAGTGCCAAATGTGACAGCTTTTTAATTCATTTCTAATAACTTTTTATTAGTTTGGCAATATCATTCCCATATTGATATTTTATCTCCTGAAAGGTGCTTATGTTTTATGTCAATGTTTTATATCAATCAAATACTAAAACCCAGAACAGTAACAAGACACAAGATTGTAACCAATTAATAAGTCAGTTGTAATTCCAGAAAACAATAATTAATCCCTTAAGTTTATAATACAAATTTTTTTAATCGACCCTTAAACATTGTCTTAAAATAACTATTCTTTTCTGGTATGAGGTCATTCAGTTAAAACTTAATTAATTTTAGAATTTATTCTTTCTATTTGATGTTGTTACAATCCCTTCTTTTATTATACAAACACTTTTATTATAAAAACAGTACAAACAATCTTCATAATGTTCATAAAGGTATAAACACAGTACACAACATTTATATGTATGTGTGTGTGTGTGTGTGTTTATACTGTGAAGGAAAGATAAATATTTACTGATAAATATCATTTATATATATAAACTGATACATGCTTTAAACCATTTTTTTAATAATATGTATTATTTTTCTTAGACATCTCCAACACTGAGTCCTGGAGGCTGCCAGATTCAAGAACAACTAGCACAAACATCCATGCTTAATAATGTACATGGAACAACACATAATATTATATCTAATTCTATACCAGGACCAGAAAGTTGTGTATGAAGATCTTACAAATAATACTGTCTCAAAATATTAACTGGATCTTTGTTTTGTTCTATTTGTTTCTTTGAAAACAAGATGTATTACAGTTTTTTTTTTTTAAATGTGAACAATTTTATATCATGTAAACTGTGTTCGAATGTCTATTTATTTTATATAAAATAATGTATAATGTGTGTATATGGATGACTGCATGTCTTCATGCTTGAACAGTGTTCACCAGTAATCTTATTTTACATAAGGTGACCATTTATTTTCTGCACAAAAGAGTACGTTGAAATTAGATTAATAATTTGTAAGTACAATCAGTATTTTCATGTACAATTAAATAGAAAGCAAGAGCATTTTTAGATCCAAAAGCATCAATTTTGAAAAATTAAATTGTTCAATTGTGATTTATGCAGAACACCTCTTGTGCTAATCTATAGAATTCAAAATATCCACAGTCATGTGCAGATACATCATGAATGATACATAGAAAGTTATCATTGACAATGTTAGCGCAGATACATTTAAATGGTTGGGTATAGACTTTATATATTTATACTTACATAATAATGTAATGAAGTGCAAAAGGGGTACAGGTTCTTAAAGGAATAGAGTTCAAGAAAAAGTAGTACAGAACATCCTAAAGAAATATGTTTGGTCACCTTATTTCGTAGCCTCCATGATGTTTATTTTTTTAACTCCTGTTATCTTCTCATAGCTATCGTTTTTCCAAACAGACTGAATAAAGTAAAAAAAGGTATTTTTAGAAGACTGACTAACTATTGACAAATACTCTAAATACATCAATCCATTTCTTTCTTGTATTATCCATTATCTAATCTGATTATATTTCAATGCTTAAATACGGGCAAGAAATATATAACCTATATATATATATATATATATATATATATATATATATATATATATATTATATATATATATATATATATATATATTATATATATATATATATATATATATATATATATATATATATATATATATACAAAATCATTCCACATAATTTGTTCAATCTTTTTAATTTATGATATGATAAAATATTTTTCTTTTAAATAGAATTTATAATATTTACACAGATTAGCATAATTTATATATAATTCAAACAGACTGGCATAAGCTAACATGCATGTTCATATATACACACAATACATAACATTTATATATATGTGTGTGTGTGTGTTTGTACTATAAAGGAAATATAAATATTTACTGATAAATAGGGTATATACACATATATTGTTTATACCTGTAATCTACTACCAAAGATTGAATCAAATCTATGATGAAAGTCAAGTGATTGAAGAACCAATGTTTGACCAAAATAAGGCTCAGTGTGTGAAGTGTCCTTCAATGGTGGCATTGAAGTATAATTTAAAAAAAAAAATGTTAAATTAAAGAAAAAATTACTGTACATAATTTTAATAAGATTCCATGTTGTTGTATTATGTTAAATATTTAAAAATAGTATTGATAGTAGTGCCAATTATATATATGATGTAAAAGTTGTATAATTGTAAACAACAGATGTTTAACTTTAACCATTTGCTAGTTATTGATCAAATTTACATACCTCATTGAGTATGTAATTGATTTATTAAATAATTTACAATTCAAACAAAAGTTATAACTGGTTTGGAAATTGAATTTTATTGTGGAGTTCATTATTTTAATATTGTTTTCCAGGTTATAATAAATTAATGTATCTGAATTTATTAAAATCAAATTTACTTGTCAATGTTAATAATTTATAGCTTTGAATTTCATATAACCTTGTGCTATGTAAATATTGTGTAATCTAATGAACCTAAATAGAAATAAAAGACATTATGTTGTATTACTTGTTCCTAATTTAATCTGATTGTGGGTCATTGCACTTAATACCTTTATATTTTATAGTGATAACAAATAAAAACAAATTAAATTTTTTAAAAAAGAATTTGAAAATTATTACTTCAGTACAACATTATTATGAAAAAAATGATAAAAAAACTTAATTTTCTCAGAAATCGGTAGATGGTTTCTCTCATAGAGGAGCTCCCAAACATATAAACTAAAGTTTAGTAGTTTCAAGCTACACCCCTCTAAAGATCATGATTACCCCAAGCAATACCCTTTCTTTCTGAATTAACTCTTAAATTTTCCATAACTGTTTCCAGATTACTGTAAAATACTCTAATATAAAATTATAAAGGACAGGGAACCTTTATACATTAATTTTATTAGAATAACAGTAAGTGTGCAACATGTACTCAACATAAAAAAAATGGTGAAGAGGATATTTTGTTGTTTCTTCAACTCTAGTGCAAAGACTTTAATTTTATTTTTGTTTCAAATAAAGTCTATATTTCATAATAAAAAGATTTAAAAATAAGAATTTTTTTTATAGAAAATAACAAACTTAATTACATAAACTAAAAATTTGGTTAGAAATAATAAAATATATTTTAGGGATTTTTCCTTATTAATTTTTTTAATAATAAAGATAATTAATTTTGTTATTATCATGTGATACCTTCCCTTGCTAGTACAATCACCTATGTTTCTCTTGATTTGCTGCCAGTTAAATTCTAAATCCTTTGCTTTGATGTCTGGTCAGAACGTTAGGGCTACCAGAAATTAGCATTTAGAGGGCAGTCCAGAGATACAGGGATACTAAGTAAGCATTATGGAGGCAACTACTAAAATTCAACTCTCACCAGTTGATAAGATAGTTTGTCTTAGATTTGCTCTTGGATAGAGAATGATTGGGCATGAGTAATGTTTTTAGAGAAGTTCAGATTTTCATTATTCAAATGAGGGTATCAGGATAGCATGTGGAGAAGGCAAGGACACCATTGTATAGAACGTAAATCTCCGAAAGGTGGCCTTAAGAAGTTGGTTTCGTGATAGCTTAGGATGGGATCACTTCAGAGAGCAGAGACTGATCTCCATATTTTCTTGAAATTGAGCCTTACAACACAAAAGTGCTTATTTGATATCCAGAAAGATTACTTATTACCAATCACAACTTACATTAGCAATTATTAAGTTAAAGTATGGCATGCAAAAATGTGGTCACCCACTGCCTTAATGAGGTCATTCAGTATAGGCAACCATCAGTGTCCAGCCTGCAGCCCTGAACTTTTTTGTATTTTATGTCTTAAGAATTCAAACATAAAATATATTGTTCATAATTGTATTTTGTTTTATATTCTAAATACTCAAAATAAATCATCAAATCGAGACCATTTATTTAAGTTACATTCTCCATAATAAAATATAATAGTAGAAGTCATGGTGAATAACTACTAATGCTGATTACCTAATAGTAGACTGGAAAACCAGGGCTATCTGTGGTGGCGATATTTCTTATCAGTTAAGTTAGTTTGTCTGAGCTGTTGATAACTACCTATTTATAATTTACAATTCTCTAAAAAAACAAAAACAAAAAAAAAACAATTTTCTATGGAGTGAGAAATATTCAAGTTTTTATTTTTTAAATTTTAATTCTAACAATAGAAATAAATAATGTTTTATTTTTGGTATGATTTTAAATTTTAAATGCATTATCTTTTTATTCTCCAATCTCTATATTTTTTATGTTTCGAATTCAACATTCATCCATTTTCAAATTAAAAATCTAATTACATACAATGCTTTCATTGCATTTACCTATGTAATGTCACTTCCATTTTTCTTATAAGGTTATTTGTTTTTTTTTCAATAAAACATATATCATGGAAAATTAATTCATTTCATTAGGTTATTCAAATTTCTCTGTATAGGCAAAATAACCAGAATGTTTGTAAATAACATTTTGGTTTGTTATTTTTTAATCCGTTTTTGTGAAACATAAGATTTATTTGACACATAAAAACAAAATTAAATTCTTTGTAACGTCATCCAAGAGCCAAGTCAAAATTCTAGCGAAAACCAGTTGTGCTGTATTAACATTCCTAGATATCCCTAAAATGAAGGCCAAAAACTATTTCCTCCAATGCCTTCAATGTAACGCTCAAAATACAAATTAAAAAGCATTTTTCAGTGATTTAATTGAGAATTAAATATTTTTAAGTCTTTGCAAGAGAAATATAATTGTTTTTCTCATTGAAATATAGTATTTATAGATATATAAGATTAGATAAAATTAAATATGGTTCAGTCTTTCAGTTCTTTGGTTTTCATTGCTATAAAAAATTTAATATCGAAGCATAATATAAATATAAATGTAAATAAACATTAAGCTACTAGCTGGGACTGTAATTTTATGTCCAACCTTATGGGGGTAAGTGTATTGCCTTTTAACAGACCAAGGTCTATAAAGAATTTAATGAATCTCTGTCCATTTCTATTTTTTTTTTCTCTCTCCTTCCTCACATTATACAGGGTTTTCCCAGGCCAGGTGATAAGGACAGGAGATTAATACTAGGTTAAAAAGCACTCCCTCCCTCTGGGCAATAGGACAGAAACTCGTACTTATTTTATCTTCTATAACTTTGGATATCAGGTGCTGTGCACATGCATTAGCCCTCTCAGCCACCCCGCTTCTACTCAGTCTCCATTTTTATTTTTAGTCGCCTCCCCTCTCTAAAGTCCCATGGTTCCATGAGATCCTCTATTATGTCTTCTAATCCTAGAAGTTAGGTCTCCTATTATTATTGGTTCTACTGGTTTCCCTTTCCAGTTTGGTATTAAACAGATCTTTTGTCAAATATATCGTCATCCTCTGTGGGCGTATTAGCGTAATCCTATCTACTGATGCATATCGACAGGAAGAAAGAGCCATCCATTTTTTGACCTTTGAGTAATTGCTCTATTTCAAGACAATACTTAATCCTTATTTTTCTCTTGTTCCTTTTGGAAATCCTTAGTATATAAAGGTATAATTTTTGTCCAGTTTAGTATCTCTACTATCTTTTTTTTTAACTTCAATTATACCAATGATATCTACTTTATATTTTTACATTTTCTCTAATATTTCTGCCCCCTTCTCTGTAAGTGACCTTATGCTC